CTTGTGTTTTGAAATTCGAGAATTCCTCAGTCTTGATCAGTCCTTATTCTAGAATCACTGGCCCTGAGAATCAAATGCTATTTGTGAAGTTAGTTACCACTGAAACTTAGAAATCCTGTGCAGAATGTTACCTTGCAATGGAATGCCAAAGCAGAGTACCAAAGATAAGATATTAGAACACTGCATTTCCATTAGCCTAAACCTTCACAATAATATTTATTCATTTTCACAGTATCTAGGTGCATGGAAATTTCTCAGACTGGTCCTGTTTCATTAATAGTTGTCTTCTATCCATTTAAAATCACTCCTGTGTAGACATTAGTGGAGGTGGCGTCATTTGCTGCATGATCTGCTGTGATCCATAGTGAACTTTTATTGAAATTCCAACTGATGGTATTCAGAAATAATTCATTTTATGTGAACAGGGCAGATCACATAGGATATACCCTATATATAGGACTCTAGACCAAAGGGAGTTTTGAGGCTTTCTGATCCATTTCTTTGGGAACATATCCAGGAGAGAGGCTTTTAAAAAATATACCAAAAAAGGAAGAGACCTCAGGGTTGGGAGGATGTCAAATGTCATCAGTCACACTTTCCCAATCTGCAGATAAAGGACCAGTGGTCCCATGATGTTTTTTGTTTTATATTGTTTTTGGCTGTTTCCTATTTCTAAAAACAACCCTCTCTGGGGAATGCTGAGGTCACATAATAAAGTGTCTGCTACACTCGTGGCCCTTATTCCTTATTAATGTCAATTTGTAAGTATCCACTTCTTTAAGCAAAGGCATTCGACAGTCTCCAGAACCTATTCTATCCTGGCAAGCCCTGTGATCTAAAATTCAGCGAAGTTAATCTTTGCAAACAGCCTTAGAAATCACATACTGCAACCTACTTATATTCAGGGGAGTTATGGAGCAAAGAAATTAAGTAACTTGAGTAAAGCTACACAGTTTGTGTTTCTGAATCAAAATTTGTATGTATGTTTTCCTGAACTGTCCTGAGTTCTCCATGAGTCAAACCTGATCGATCTCCTTAGCTTTTGGTGGGGTCAGCCAGGGTTACGACCAACGGCGAGATTTCTCTACATGTCGTCTGTTTTGACAGTATTTCTACTCTAATGGGTTTTTATAAGAATAGTCGTGGACATTCATCAAAAAATAATCTGTAGTGAGTCTACATAGGATTCTTCCTTTGAAAAACCTTATAAGTATTTTCTAATTGTTGGTCTATCTTAACTAATACAGCAACAACAAATAATAGGCATAGTTAATTTAACCAACATACCGACTTCATGAATTACATCACAAGTTGACATTTGTGAGCATGGAATCTTGATTTTTCCCCACCTTTTTTAGCTCAAGAATTTTTCTGTTTACAACAAAACTGAAATCTGTTGTTTCCATTTTAGAGTTTATCTCAGTAGTTTCTGTATTGGTATATACATAGTTTAAAAGTAATTATGTTTAGAATATTTTCATCTTGTTAGAAATTTGACATAGAAACATGGAACATTAATGTTTTTATTTTGAGTCGTGTCACTGGCAATTTCCCTCTGGTACCGTGTGTGGTGTCACGTTCTATGTAAATTTACCAATGAATAAATGTTTGGTGAACAATCATGTTGTATCTTATTGTTTCACTCCTCTGCCAAATTATCCGATTGGTTTACGGATTAGATTGTAAGTGTTGGTTAACTAGTTGAGGAAAGAGGATAGTTTATCTATCAAAAAACAGATGAAAGCCTTCTCAAGTCACTCTTAGGAGGTATCACATTTACCATATGCCAAGTAGTAGCAAACCTAATTAAGAAGTTGTGGTGTTGTCTAAATGGAGTTCAGTAGACTATGCAGTTAGGTAATTTAGTTGTCCACTACTCCAGTATCTTCCTGGAGCCATATCACCAAACTGTATTCCTGCCAAATATGTTAAGAATTAGAAATTTCATGGAAAATATGCGTTCTCCAATCTTGTGAAATACTGGCCACCTCAGTCATGGGTGAGAAAAATGCCAAATTCTTGCCATTTATTATATAGAAAATTCTGGATCACTTAAGGTATATTATTTATACTCGGAACAATACGTTGTAAGAAAAGGATTATATCAACTATTCAGTGTTCCATGTTGTTTATCAGGCTGTGTCTCAGAATACATTGTTTAAAACCAGAAGTGTTAGTTTTTGTGTTTAAAGATGTATGCACTATGATTCCACTGTAATATTTCCTTCCAATAAATTTGCCTGGGTGGGGACTGGGTATTTAATGTTGTGACAAGCGTCATCAGTGGTGAGTTGTCAGTCAAAGGTATCCCTGGTTTTATAATTCTGTACACTTT